TGCCCCTCCCCCACAGAGCGTCTCAGACCGTCTGCTCGGGATAGTTTGAAATCGCGGTTTTGTTCGTCCCACTGGGTATCCCAAATGATCTGTCCCTGCAATCCCCTGGGCTGGGCTATTGTCCAAGTCTCGTTCAGTCTCAAGTCCAGCCCTCTCAAGTCTCAGGTTGCCGGTTCAACAGGGCATCCGGACACGCGCGCCCTGTGGGGATTGCTGGGTAGGGCCGGCCGCCGCCGCCCCGGCTACCGGCTTCGCCAGGCAGACCTACTGCCTGGCGTCCCGTGTCTTTTTATACTTGGGAGTTTCCCCGTTCTGCGGGCAACAAAGATCAGTCTGTAAATGCAGCTCAGACTCACCGTTTGCGGATTCAATGCGAGCTCCAATCCTGGGTTGTTCTCACAGCGCCATCTTGAGTCCTCCTCTCAAGTGCTATTTCTTTCGCAGCATCGAAATGTTACTTCTAACACTCTCTACAGGGAAAAGTCCCCACTGAAGGTAGTTCTGCTTGGATGAGCTTGATTACAGTGTGAGGGCTGAGGTTTGTTGTGTTGTTGGTGTGGTTGCTGTGTCCCAACGGACATGGTTACAGGGCTTGTTGTGTCGACAGTGTGGTTACCATGTCCCAAGGATGCGGTCATCTCCTTGACTATCTATCCTGTCTCAGTACCATATAGTTCACCCATTAAAGTGTATGGTTCAATGTCCTTTAGCATATTCACAGAGTTATGAAACGATTACCACAATCAACTTTAAAACATTCTCATCGCCTAAAAAGAAACACTGAGCCTGATCCCCTAGCCGTTCCATCCCCAATCATTATAATTATGAATTTACTTTATGTCTCTGTATGTTTTCCCATTCTTGACAGTTCATATAAATGGGGTCATATGCTATACGGCTTTTGTGACCAGCTTCTTTCACTAATCATGTTTTCAAGCTTCCTCCATATTTTGGCATGTATCAGTACTTCCTTTTTATGGCTGAAGAATATTACATCATAGGGATATGTCACATGTTGTTTATCCACTCATCTGTTGATGGCCATTTGGGTTCATCCCTTTTGGCAGTTATGAATAATGCTGAGTATTAGTCAGGGTTCTTCAGAGAAACAGAACCAATAGGAGGTTATCTATCCATGAAGATTTGTAACAAAAAATTAGCTCATGCAGCAGTCACAGAGGCTGAGAAGCCCTACATCTGCTGTTAGCAGGCTAGAGACCCTGGAGACTCAGGAAAGGCAGTGGTATCATTTAGTCTGAGTCCAAAGGCCTGAGAACCCAGGGAGCCAATAGTGTAAATCCCAGTTTGAGGGCAGGAGAAGATGAGGTGAGCTGCCTCAACACAAGCAGCGAGGCAGAGAAAAAGGGGATGAATTTCTCATCCCTCTGCCTTTGTTCTATTCACGCCCTCAACAGATCGATGCTCCCCACCCAAATAAGGGAGGGCCATCTGCTTTGTCCATTCCACCAGTTCAAATGCTGATCTCATCTGGAAGTACTTCAGAGACACGCCCAGAAGTCAAGGAGCATCTGGGCACCCCATGGCCCTGTCAGGTTGACACAGAAAATTAACCGCCATGACTACTATGAACATTTGCATAGGTTTTTGTGGGAAACAGGGCTAATTTAAGATAGCGGTTATTTTTTTTATTATAGTTTAAGTTCTGGGGTACACATACAGAATGTGCAGGTTTGTTGCATAGCTATACATGTGCCGTGGTGGTTTTCTATTTCTTCAACTAGCTTTGTTGGTACATGAGTGTTTTGTTATTATTTCAAGTGTTTTACACTTATGTGGCAAGTCTTCTATATAGATGTAAGATTTAATAAAACCCTTTATTTATTTATTTTCTGAGACATAGTCTCACTTTGTCACCCAGGCTGGAGGGTAGTGGCATGATCTTGGCTCACTGCAACCTCCACCTCCCACGTTCAAGCAAGTCTTGTGTCTCAGCCTTCTGAGTCGCTGGGACTACAGGCACACACCACCACGCCAGGCTAATATTTTTAGTAGAGATGGGATTTCACCATGTTGGCCAGGTGGGTCTTGAACTCCTGTCTCAAGTGATTCACCTTCCTTGGCCTCCCAAAGTGCTGGGATTGCAGGCATCAGCCACTATCCCTGGCTGTGGGAAATAGAAAAGTTCCTTTTTAAAGTTTCCTTTCTTGTTAAAGAATAAGTGTTCTAATAACTTTGTTAAGCCCTATCCTATGTAGCTGTTAGATGTACCATGCTTTCAAGTGGTAGTGCATTCTATGTCCTTGTACTTCAACCAAGATATCTGTGCTGGACGTGCTCACAGGCATGTCCCGGCTCTCCATTGCTTTTATCTGTTTAGAAAAGTTTAGAAAAGTTTTTAGTTGTTAGCCAATCAGGTTTGAGTTTAGATTGTGAGGTCTGGCTTCAGCCAATGGAGATCAGACACAGCAGTATGGACAACCCAAATGTGTAAGGGATAAATTTATGTGTTTTCCTTTGTTCATTGTACTCTTGTAGCATGACAGCTAGCGAGGGTACCCTTCCTGCAGTCCAGGAAGTAAAAAGTGCACTGCTGAGAGATCTTTTGTCTCTGTGCTAATTTTCCTTTGCTGCACTGAGCATCTATTTCCAACAAATTGGCACCCCAGATGGGACTAATTCCCCTCCAGAGTGGTCTTCAGCTGAGACCCACCTGGTGTGAGGAATAAATCAACCTGGTCTCTCAGAAGTGCGGAGGGGCCTTCAAGCTTTGGTCAAAATTCTAAAGGTTAAGGATATGTAAGTGTGCATGTCAGAGAGCAGTGTGAGCGGTTTCTCTCTGCAAAATCTGTAATTGTTTCACATGGACTAGAAACTGGAGAGAGCAAAGTGAAAGTAAAGCGAGGAGTGAGAGAGACCTCTGAAAGGGCGGGAGGGCATAGTTAGAATCCTCCCCTGGAAAAAGAAAGGCAACAGGTAGCCAAGACGGCTCCAGAGGGGCCCCAGTAAAGGCCCCCTAAGGTGGCGGCAGTGGTGCTGGTGGCTGGGTCAGCCACTTGTTGGGGTGGGGCCCAGGGAGGTGGAGGTCACAGGCATACAAAGGCCAGGCTGCCCTGAGTGGCATTGCGCTGCGGGTGCCAGGGCCGGGTGTCAGGAAGCAGCACAGGTGGCACTGGAAGTGGTAAGTGGCCTGCATGCAGATGGCAGTGGTGGAGGTCACCTGCAAGGCCACTGGCTGTACCCAGGGGTGCCACAGAGGCAGCAGGAGAGGCTGGAACAGCCTGGTTAAATAGCAGCAGCAGCAGTGAGATGGTCCAAGGTTGTGTGCTGTGAACTTTGTGGGGCAGACAGGCGCGGCACCTGTGCCAGCAGGGGAGAAGTCCAGCAGCATGAGCAGTGCAGCCCAAGGCAAGCCCCACTCTGACCAGTGAAATACAAAAAGAAAAGTTGAGATATGTCGAAAACTTCTAAAAGTAAGTGTGTGTGAAAGAAAGAGAGAGATAATAAGTAAAACTAAAGAAAAAAATCATGTAAAGAGAAAAGGGAGAGAAGCTTTTTCTTTTAAAAACTCAGGCAGAACAACTAAGGCAAGACGTGTTAAAAAAGTGTAAACAAGAAAATTATAAAGTAAAAGAGGAGGGAATTGTGGGAAGTAGAAAAGTTCCTTTTTAAAGTTTCCTCTCTTGTTGAAGAGTAAGTGTGCTAATAACTTTGTTAAGCCCTATCCTATGTAGCTGTCAGACATGCTATGCTTACAGGCACATAGTACATTCTATGTCCTTGTACTTTAACCAAGATATCTGTGCTGGACGGGCTCACAGGCATGTCCCAGCTCTCCATTGCTCTTACGTGTTTAGAAAAGTTTTATGTTGTTAGCCAATCAGGTTTTAGTTTTGACTGTGAGGTCTGGCTCCAGCCAACAGAGATCAGACACAGCAGTAAGGACGACTCCAAATGCATAAGGGAAAAATGTATGTGTTTTCTTTTGTTCATTGTACTCTCGTAGCACAATGGCGAGTGAGGGTACCCTTCCTGCAGTCCAGGACATAAAAAGTGCATTGCTGAGAGATCCTTTGTCTCAGTGCTGATTTTTCTTTGTGGCCCTGAGCATCTATTTCCAACATCACCAAAGCCCGTTAAAATTATATGTAGTCTAAGATATTCCTGGCATATACACAGAAAGATAACATTGCCTCTAGAAAGGGGAACTGGATGACTGGGGGCTGGAGGTGCAGAATGGAGGCTTATCTTTCCTTTTATAGCCTTTTATAAAATTAAAAAATAATAAAGAGTATATGTGAACAAAAATGAAAGTATTCCAGGCTGTAGCCCTGGAGCTCGCCGGCCGGCTGGGTGTGTGATCTGCCCCACCCTGTTCTCTGTCAGGAGAACTTTGACACCCTTCCTGCTCAGCATGGACAGTGGGGAGGCAGCAGAATTCTGAGTCCACCAGCCCTTGATTTGCAGACTCTCCTTTCCTGTGGCTCCTGGAACTGATTTTCTGACATTCTGAACAGCTTGGATTTGGTGAAAAGCCACAAGTCCCAGCATGAGTACAGCGACGTTCCTTCCCACCTCCACCCTGCACGGTCTGCTTGGTCATTGTGCCAACCCACCTGAGATCCCAGCAGCAGACAGCATGTGGAAGCCCTCCTGCCCGGGGAAACATGTGTGACGTTGATGCAAGGGCAGGGCATGCATAGGACGAACTGAGGTTGCCAGGCTGGAGGTCAGCCACTCAAAAGATGATCGGGAAGCCCGAGTGGGGACTGGCCCAGAGGAGAAAATTAGCTAAGTCAACCCCACTCTCTCCCTCCAGGAGGAATGCTTTGGAGATTGTCTCACTGAAACTCAGGGGAGAATGGAGTGGAGGTGCTGAGAGAGGTATCGTGGAAGCAAGACAGTGTGGGCCGAGGGAGTAGCTGGTCATGTGGAGCTGCTGTGGCTCCCAAAGAGTTTTCCAGTGCGGGCTCCAGTCCATCTGCATCCCCACACTAAAGCTCTTTGTTTGTTTGTAGCGTGAAGAAGGTAAGTTACTGGTCCTTGCTTTCCTGCCCTCCATGCTCCACAGTGAGGATACTCAGCTCCCCCCAGCCCCACCCACTCCTTCCTGTCCAGTTTGCTCAGGACCCACCAGCTATATGTTGATGTCAGAAGATAAACTTATTTGGAGGTTGGAGGGATAAGCATGCAGGTGCCTCAAAGAAGCAGCCTCTGTACATCCAATAATGGGTTTTGGTTTCCATTTGGTACAGAATGAGTGTTTCTGAACTGTGGGTGAGAGGCAGGAAGAGGAGTGGTTTTTTTTTTTTGAGATGGAGTCTCCCTCCGTTGCCCAATCTGGAGTTCAGTGACGTGATCCCAGCTCACAGCAACCTCCGCCTCCCCGGTTCAAAGTATTCTCCAGCCTCAGCCTCCCAAGTAGCTGATTGCAGGCATGTACCACCATGTCCAGCTAATTTTTGTATTTTTAGTAGAGATGGGGCTTCACCATGTTGGCCAGACTGATCCTGAACTCCTGACCTCAGGTGATCCACCCACCTCAACCTCCCAAAGTGCTGGGATTACAGGCATGAGCCACTGCATCTGGCCTGGAGTGGGTTCTTTCTATACTGCTGTCCAAGCAGCCTCACTCTGTTTCCAGCGTCGGGAATGTGCCTCCAATAATATGGAGTGGGAGTCCTTGCCCTGGACCCTCCCTCCCCAGTTCACCACACCCCCTGAAGATGGTGTGACCAAGGGCTGCTCTCCCTGAGCCCACCGTTCCTGCCTTCGGGCCATTTGCCTAGGGTTTGAGGTTGGTAGAAATGTTCACACTTCCCAGCAATGATCATTCTCAATTTGGAGGCATGAGTCTCAGTCTCTATGGGGCTCCTCTCTCTTTTTTGAAATGTTTCCTCCATGGTCTCCATCTCTCCATCCTGCCTGCCCCGGAACCCACTGGATCTTGCTTGTTCCACCTGAAACTTGGTGATTATCAACTGTGCCCCTGACTGCACTGCCACCAAGTCCTTCCCCATCTATATCGTGAGCTCCGATTCCTCTTGCGTCTGGTTGATTTTCACACCTCTTTTCCTACTTGATATGTGCCCGGCCCCTTGTTTAAAGACAGGGCACAGTTTACATGAACCTTGATCTTGTTTGCTTGGGCTGGGTCATGGGGAAAGCGAAACTCAGACGTAATTTAAGGATAGACACAGAGTCAGCAAGACACAAGATAGCATCTTGACGGAAGGATGGCTTCGGTAAGTTCCCAGAAGGGTTTTAAAGCTTTTCTTTGAGGAACAACCACCCTCTTAGTGGTGATTAGTGTGTTCTTGTTGGTCTATAGCCCTGGCACAGATGGTACATGGGCACACACTGAGGCCTGGGGGTCTGTCTCTCTCAGACACAGTGGGAAGGAACCATGGCGCTGGGTTATAAGCCTGGAGGCTCCCCAGCCTCAGCTGTTGCATGAGGTCTGCTTCTACTGAGGCCAAAGTTTGGGTTTGTGCTTTTGCAATCCCTCCTGTGGCCACACTCCCAGTGGCTGTGCTGAGCCTCCCGAAGGCAGGAATGGTGGGCTCAGGGAGAGCAGCCCTTGGTCACACCATCTTCAATGGGCGTGGTGAACTGGGGAGGGAGGGTCCAGGGCAAGAACTCCCACCGTGTGGGTGGTGATGGGGGCTGCCAGAAAGGGCTCTGTCTCCCTCACCTCCAGGCAGGGCCAGTCCCTCTGCATTCCGTCCTTCCCTCCAATCCCTTCTTAGGTTCCTTCTTCCTTCAGACCCAATAGCAGCCTCATTTCCCGAGTGCTTGGGGGTCCAGACACCATGCTAAACACTTTTATTTAATCCACATCAGGTAGTGAATAAGCAATTCTATGAAGCAGGCATAATTACTGCCAACTTCACAGATGGGGGGGAATGATATTCCGGTAAGTATTAGAGGGGACTGCCCAAAAGGCAGGGAGGGAATTTGAGCTAATGGAGGGGGGGAGTCTGACTCTAAAGCTTCAACTTAAAAAAGAAGAATGTATTTAATTCCATGAGGAACATGTGAGCACATTCACTTTGTTTGAAAAACCAAAACTCTAGCCTGGGGAACATAGTGAGACCCCATCTCTACAAAAAATACTAAAATTAGCCAGACTTAATGGTATGTGCCTGTAGTCCTAGCTACTTGGGAGGCTGAGGTGGGAGGATGGTTTGAGCTGGGGAGGTTGAGGCTGCCTGCAGTGTTAGTGCCATTGCACTCCAGCCTGGGTGACAGAGTGAGATCATGTCTCAAAAAAAGCCAAAAGCCAAAAATCAAAACTAAAACCAAAACTATGAGCATAAAAGCTGAAGTCCCCTCTGGCCATCCTCCCCAGCTGTGCAGCCTTTCCCCTCTGGACAGCCTGATATGTGCTCTTCCAAGTATTTTTCACTTGATCTTAGCCAAACACCCGAGAAGCGATTCTTCCAAGTAGTTTTCTATGCTTTTGCAGACATATATGACTACCTTACAAGTCTTGGTTTGTAGCTTTGGGGTTTGTTGTATTTTTTTTTTTTTTTGAGACAGAGTCTCTATCACCAGGCTGGAGTGCAGTGGTGCGATCTCTGCTCACTGCACCCTCTGCCTCCCAGGTTCAAGCAATTCTTCTGCCTCAGCCTCCCAAGTGGCTGGGATTACTGGTGTGCGCCACCACCCTCAGCTAATTTTTGTATTTTTAGTAGAGACGGGGTTTCACCATTTTGGTCAGGCTGGTCTTGAACACCTGACCTTGTAATCTGCCTGCCTCGGCCTCCCAAAGTGCTGGGATTACAGGTGTGAGCCACCGTGCCCAGCCTGTTGTAGTTTTAAATTGCATTCCCTGAGGACAATTCACTTAGGAAATGTTTGAATCTTCTCCTTTATTTGCCAGATTTTGGAATAATGTAGTAATTCTTTTCTGTCTTTCAAAGATGCCTTCTGTGTTTTAAAAATATCCTTATGAACACATGGGTTTTAACATATTTGATGTATTTCAGTCCATGTATGGTTATTATTATTATTATTATTTTTTGATGCTCAAATTGTCCCTTCTTTGGTCCAGTTGACTCTTGACCCCGCTAGTCAAAGGCTTTACTTTTTTTTTTTCTTTTTAATTTCAAGGCTTCTTTGGTGAACAGGTGGTGTTTGGTTACATAAATAAGTTATTTAGTGGTGATTTCTGAGACTTGGGTGCACAGTCTGAGCTGTGTACTCTGTACCCGATGTATAGTCTTATTTTGTTTTTGAGATGGAGTGTCACTCTATCGCTCAGGCTGGAGTGCAGTGGCACCATCTCGACTCAAGCTGCAATCTCTGCTTTCCGGGTTCAAGCAATTCTCATGCCTCAGCCTCCTGAGTAGCTGGGATTACAGGCACCTACCACCACACTCAGATATTTTTAGTATTTTAGTAGAGGTGGGTTTCTACCATGTTGGCCAGGCTGGTCTCAAACTTCTGACCTCAGGTTATCCGCCTACCCTGGCCTCCCAAAGTGCTGGGATTACAAAGTGTGGGCCACCACGCCCAGTTCCAGTGTGTAGTCTTTTATCCCTCACCCCCTCCCACCCTTTTCTCTGAGTCCCCAAAGTCCGTTGTATGATTCTTACGCCTTTGTGTCCTCATAGCTTAGTTCCCACTTACGAGTGAGAACATAGGATGTCTGATTTTCCTCTCCTGAGTTAGTCCGCTTAGAATAATAGTCTCCAATTCCATCCGAGTTGCTGCAAATGAAAGGCTTTACTTTTAACTATAGCTCCCCACCAGACTTCCAGTTGGCTGACACCCTCACTGCTCTCAGCAGCAGTTCAACTCAGTGGCCTGGCTTAGCTGAGTTATAGGGAAGAGGGGTGCTGGCTAGCACCAGAGCACACCAGAAACAGAACTCATGTGTCAAGGGCTGTCTCCCATTCTGGGTGTGGCCAGGGCAACATTCCTCTCACCCATGCACCCTCCAGATGGGCACTACCCTACTGTCAACTCCAACCACACTCTGCCATCCCTTGCTTTAATTTTAGCCTGGAGCTCAGACTTCAGCTGCCCTGGGCTTGCCTAGGACATTCTGGAATGGTTAAGGGCATTAATGTTGGAAACATTCAGCCCTACGCTTCACTCCTGCTCTTCTACTCACTAGACGAGTTACCTGACCTTCCTGAGACTCCACGTGCTCACCTGTCAAGTGGGGGTAATGATAGTTGTTACCCAAAGGAGTGGTGTGTAATGTGGGTTGAGTGTCCGACTGCCTCTGACGTGTTGGGCATTGCAAGTCAGAGCTCTGTAACTCATAGGAATCATCTGGGCTTAGGCTCATGGCAGGTGGCCTTTAAAGAGGCGTTTTAGGCTTCCTCGAGAATCATGAAGTCACCTGCTGACAAAAACATACTCCATGCTCAAGATGCACTCGCATCCAGCTTGTGCACCTTACTCCATCACACTTCCGTGCTGCAGTTCATGAAAATGTCCCTCAAAGTTACTCTCTCCATCTCCTTGTTTCCTGAAGAGCAACCTTTCCAGTCCTGCAAGCCCAGTAAATGAACGGGGTTGCTACCCATGTGAGGAGAGCTCCCTCCTTCCTGTTTCCTGCAGGTGATGAGCACAGGGAATCTGCAGGCTGGGCTGGGGCTCCTTGCAGGTCAGGCCCTAGAATGCTTCCTGCAGATGGCTCACCTCTGCTTGTCCCTGTTTTTTTTCTTGCAGTCCAGACCAAGACCAAGACCGAGACCGAGACTTGGAGACCTGATTGAGATTTTTCGCTTTGGCTATGAGCACTGGGCCATTTATGTGGGAGACGGCTTTGTGATCCATCTGGCTCCCTGTAAGTGTGGATGGGTTCTCTTTTTAAGCACAAGGATTGAGATCAAGAATGTGAAGAGATGCACAATTATGTAATTGTCTTCACTTCAGGGTCTAGCAGACCCTGAAGACTCAATACATAATGCTGAATGAATTGTGCTTTTTCCTGCTAGCTGTGGCAACTGCTACTCTTCTTTTGCAGTAAGTTGGTGGAGAGATTATTGACCTTTATTCCGTTATAGAGTGGGGTTCAGTCCGAACCAACTCATTGTGTATGGTGAGCATCCCTCCATGGGATCTCGTATGTATTTGTTGTTCTGAAGGTACAAACAAGAGGAAGGAGCAGTTCCTTTCTTCGGATAGCTTGCAGCCGACTGCACAGTATAATGGAAGGAGCACACAGGCCTCCCAACTCAACAGAACCAGTTCGGAATCATGGCTCCTCTGTTTACTGACTGTGTGCCTTGAGCATGTGGCTTCATGTCACTAAGTTCAGCTGCACTTTCTACAGAGCAGGGATAAGAATCCCTGTGCCCCAGCTCATGGAGGGAGGAAATGAAGGAATGTATAGGAAAGCACGGGCGCAGAGGCCGGCCAGGGGCTAAAGCAACCTCCCTTTCCTTCTGAAGCATCATAGCATCAAAGAAAATGACAAAATACTGGAAACGACTCAAGTGCAAGACACCCGGGGATTAGTCAAGTAGAAGAGATATACCTGCACGTAATGGAATGCTATACAGCCATTAACATAGCGCGCAGCAGGTATATATGCACACATAGATGTATATCTATCCTCATATATAGATGTCTATATACACACAAGTATGTACATGTCTATCTATCTCTATCTATAGATGCTCTGAGTTTCACTTTCCCTGTGACCCAGCCCAGGTCTGTGTGTGTATGTTTATACATACAGATTTAATTCTTATAGAGATTTTCATGATGAATCAGCAGCTGCTGACAAATGTTTAAGATTCTTGAGAGAATACAGTGCATAAGGCGTATTATCAATATGACTAATAGGAAGATATGTGTATGTACACACAGACCTGGACTGGGTCACAGGGAAAGTGAAACTCACAGCATCTATAAATAGAGATATATAGACAACTCTGTTTCAAGAGTTGTAGAAATACTGATACATATGTGTATATACTTATATATGCATGTATGTATATATATATATATACACATGTGTATATATGTATATACACGTATGTCTATATATAGATGTGTATATAAGTGAAATAAAATCAAGCTAGAGAAATTTAAAAGGTTTGTTGTACATACAAAAGAACAGTTCTTGAATCCAGAGACTTTGAATTAAAATGGCAAGAAGCTTAGCTCAGAGCAATGGTAGCTCCGTTTATGAAGTTATAGAAGTGAGGAAGTACATTGTTTTCTGTTGTGATGGGGTGGTGCGTGCCTGTAGTCCCAGCCACTTGGGAGGCTGAGGCATGAGAATCACTTGAACCTGGGAGGCAGAGGTTGCAGTCAGCCAAGATCACACCACTGCACTTCAGCCTGGGTGACAGAGCAAGACTCGGTCTCAAAAAAAAAAAAAAAAAAAATAGAGAGAGGCTGGCCTAGGTGTGCTGGCTCACACCTGTAATCCCAGTACTTTGGGAGGCCAAGTTTTGCAGATTACAAGGTCAGGAGTTCAAGACCAGCCTGACCAATATGGTGAAACTCCATCTCTATTAAAAAAAAAAAAAAATGGAGGGACCAATAAAGAATAATTTGGGCTCCAGGCCTTGCAATATCCTGCAAGCATGAGGAATCCTCTGAGTTGTTTTTCAGTTATAAATCAAGGATAATTTTAGATATTATTTATTCTTTCTGGGCACAGAAATATTGCTTTTTTGGATAAATGATAACCTAGATAACAAACCATCTCTTATGAAAGTTGAAGCTTATCTTGAGAGATCTCATACCCCTTATAAGCTAGTTGTTATAGGAAACACATCGCGTAAGTTTCTGAGTTTTCTCTTTAGATGAGGAACACAGAAACAAATCATCTACCTATTGCATTTCTGGGATATTTCAGGGGTTTTAAATTTTTATGTAAAACTTGTGGAAAGTATAAGGAGCCTCAGTAATACTGTCTAAGTATACTGTTGACTTCTCCAAGTAAAGTTAAAAAAAGATTGACTTTCTCTGTCTACTGGACTGCAAAAGAAAGCAGAGCATAAGCCCACAGTGTTGACGTGAGGACAGCTTGTTTGGTTTGTGGTTACAGGTAGCACTTTGGGGAAATCAGATGAATTTTAAGTTTTTCATTACATGGTTATGAGTGGTTTAGGACTAGTCAACTATGGCTTCCATTTCAGTTTCTCTTTGTTTGTGTGTGTATAAGTTTGAATATATATATTCAAATTTTAAAAAATTAGACTTATTTAGGAATAATTTACATATAGTAAAATTTATCCTTTTTTTTGAGACACAATTTCACTCTTGTTGGCTAAGCTGGAGTGCAATGGCATGACCTTGGCTCACTGCAATCTCTGCCTCCGGGTTCAAGTGATTCTCCTGCCTCAGCCTCCCAATTAGCTGGGATTACAGATGCCTGCCACCACGCCCAGCTACTTTTTTGTATTTTTAGTAGAGGTGGTGTTTTGTCATGTTAACCAGGCTGGTCATGAACTCCTGACCTCAGGTGATCTGCCCACCTTGGTTTCCCAAAGTGCTGGGATTACAGGTGTGAGCCACCACGCCCGGCCAAATTTATCCTTTTTGGTATGCAATTCTATGAGTTTTGACAAATGCATATGAATAGGTAACCATCACCATAATCTAGTTATAGAAGAATTTCCTAATGTTCTCTGTTCAGCTGAACCCATGGTTGGAGTGGCCCCAAAAGTGGGATTTTCTTCAGGGCACTGTCCCCCAAAATCCTGAGATGGGGCCAGTTTGGATTCCAAAGAAAGAAGCACTAAATGCCAGGCTGATGAATCCAAAGCATTTATTAGGGGAACTTTGATGCAGAGGGCTGGAGTCCTCTCACTGGACAGCAAGATAGTAGAGGGTCTACCCAGGAACGTCTGGAACAAGGGGGTTGGATTATGAGGTTTACGTGAGGATTAAAAGAATTTGGTTCAAAGCTGGGGCATCTCTATGTGCTTAGCAACGTATTTGCTCTTTCAGTGTTTCACGCAACAACCTAAACAACTTTATCGGTGCCTGGGAATGAACGTTAAAGGCTCCAGCTTGGGTTCAAGCCTGCAGAGGGCAGCAGGCAGCTAGCTGGGTCACAGAGTGTCAAGGCGTTCTGTGTTAGTCAGGACAAAGAAAGTGGGGGAAAACTGGGGAACACTACACCTCATCCCCCTACAATTCCCCCATGCCCTTTTGTTGTCAACCCCCATACATCCACTCATGACTCCAGCTCCTAGCAAGCTGTGGTCTTTTCTGTTCCTGTAGTTTCGCCTTTTCCAGAATGTCACATGACTGAAACCATAGAGAATGTAGCCCATTTTGTGTCCAGTTACTTTAACTTAACATAACGCATTCGAGGTTGATGGATGTCATAGCCTGTGTCAGTACTTTGTTCCTTTTTATTGCTGAATAGTATTCCATCGCATGGACGTACCACCATTTATTTATCCATTCACCAGCTGAAGGCCATTTGGGCGATTTTCAGTTTTTGATAATAATCATTAGAGCCACTGTAAATATTCCCATGCAGGGTTTTTTTTTTTGTGTGTGTGTGTGAACATAGATTTTTATTTCTTCTGGGTAAATACCTAGGAATGGGATTATTAGGTCATGTGGTAAGTGAATATTTACTTTAATAAGAAACTGCCAAACTGTTGTCCAAAGCACTTTACCAGCAATATAGGAAATGGTGTTCTCTATTGGGAAGGAGGAAGAAACCCATCCCAGGGCTGAGAGACTGAGGGGCAGGAACGGGAGAGTGAGAGGAAAAGGGGAAAGAGAGAGGCATGGGGAGTCTGACCGGTGGAAATAGGGGGACAGATGTGGGAGGACTAGGGGCAGAGATGGGAAGACTAAGGAGTAGAAAACAGAAACTTAGAAGCCAAGAAGGGGAGACATTGGGTTAGAGGATACTAAGGGGCAGAGATGCAGGAGACTGTATTTTTCTCATGAAAAAGAAAAGGCTGGGCGCGGTGGCTCACACTTGTAATCCCAGCACTTTGGGAGGCTGAGGCGGGTGGATCACCTGTTGGGAGTTCAAGAACAGCCTGACCAACATGGAGAAACCCCGTCTCTACTAAAAAAAAAAAAAAAAGAAAAAAAAATTAGCCTGGCATGGTGGTGCATGCCTGTAATCCTAGCTACTTGGGAGGCTGAGGCAGAATTGCTTGAACCCGGGAGGTGGTGGTTGCAGTGAGCTGAGATTGTGCCATTGCACTCCAGCCTGGGCAACAAGAATGAGACTCTGTCTCAAAAAAAAAAAGAATACATTATTGGTGATGTATTTTTATACCTATATTAATCCTGTTTCTTCCAGCTTCCCTTCCAGTCTGTCCAGGAAGACTGGGTGTGGACTCCTCTGTTTCTCTCCTTGGCAGAGGATCTCTCTGGCTCCCATTCCTGCTCCTGTAGCTGAAGTGAGCTGGGACCGAGACATTTGTTTAAATATCCTTTTGAAAAGAAAATAAAAATCAGTAAAGGAAAATGTGAATACACACCTAAGTTTAGAAGCTGGTCGTTAGCTAAACTGACTGTTCAGAGACTGACATTACAACAGGCTTTCTCCAAGCTGGGCTGCTTCTAGCAGGGTCCATTGTAGACCCCGGGTCCATCTGGCCCTCCATGAGGGTTCTGGCTGCCGTCACTTGGCCACTGTTTCATTCCAGCTTCCCAGAAGGCTGGGGTCCCCTTTAGAGGCCAATTGGAGAATTTAGAGCTGGAGGGCATGGACATCCCCTGGCCTAGTTCCTCTAATTGAAAGTGATGAAACCAGGGTCCCAAGATGAGAAGGGCTTTGTCTGAAGGCACACAGTAAGAGAGCCAGGGCCAGGACCTAGGGGGGCCTGGATTCCTGAGCCAGGCTTCTATCTTGTTCAGCTGTTTTCTTGAACTGGGGCTCCCACGGCACTGGCTCAGGGCAATGGAGTGATGATTTCTTTTCTTTACCTTTTTGGAGATAAGGTCTTACTCTGCTGCCCAGGCTAGAGTGTCGTGACACAATCATAGCTCACTGCAGCCTGTAATTTCTGAACTAAAGCGATCTTCCCACCTCACCTCTGGAGTAGCTAGAATTATAGGTTGTGCTGCCATGCCCAACTAATCTTTTAATTTTAATTTTTAGAGATAGGAGCCTTACTATATTGTCCAGGCTGGTCTCCAACTCCTGGCCTCAAGTGTTCCTCCCACCTTGGCCTCCCAAAGTGCTGAGATTACAGGAACCTGGCCTGTAGTGACTTTTTCTAAGCCACAAGCTAGTGAGGGGCAGTTGGGACTATGGCCTGGGGCTCTTCTGCCTTCTCTTTTTGCCCTGTACCACTCTGCCTTGACCGTTGTCCTCTTTCAGGGACATTGGAACTCATGTGATTCTTTAGAACTCAGGTTCTTTACTTTAGAAATGAGGAAACCAGAGCCTAAGGACCCATGGTGACTTCTCCAAAGTCACCCAGGCTTGGGTTTGCCCTGTTTTCAAGTTGGAGACCAGGCAGGATGGACAGGTCCTTTCACAGCTCATCCTTCTTGATGGTGCTTGGGGCAGTGAGGCTGCTTGGCTTGGAGCCAGCTCTGAGCCCTGCTGGCCCCGCCCAAGACCGAACTCACTGTTTGCACAGGTGAAATTGCCGGAGATGTTGCGGCCAGTGTCCTGTCCGAACTGACCAACAAAGCCGTAGTGAAGAAGCAACTGCTGTCTGCCGTGGCTGGGAGAGACAACTACCGGGTCAACAACAAACATGATGACAGATGCGAGCCACTGCCCGTCAACAAAATCATCAAGCAGGCGGAGGAGCTGGTGGGAAAGGAGTTTCACTATTCGCTGACCAGTGACAACTGCGAGCACTTCGTGAACGGGCTGCGCTATGGGATCTCCCGCAGTGACCAGGTGCATCCTCAGCCTGTGTCCCCTTCCCAGCAGCCAGGCCACTCCCTCAGCTGTCAGAGGCTGGGTACCTGCTGGGGCCAGGGTGGGATGGAAATAGATATGAGCAAGACAAATTCACAGACATGAAACCCCCGCCCTTGAGGTTTCATACGGAGATAGGCAAGTCGGCAGTGTAGACCAGTGCAGTGGGTTGGGGGGGTGGCCACAGAAGGGAGTCACAGCCTGAAATGGCCATCCACAGCCCTAGAGTCGGGTTTTATGATCCCCACTTTACAGATGGGGAAACTGAGGCTCACAGTGCTTAAGTAACTTGTCCAAATTCATTAAACTCCTAGTTATTGAGTCTCTAGTACACGTCAGCCATGGTGACGTGGAGGCAGTTAAACCCCCACGTGTTCTCTCCAAGGGACCTGATCAAGGAAGGCTTTGCAGAAGAGGTAATACCTGAGCACAGCCTGATTTGATTATTTTGATTTCTGAAAGAAAATGAGCTGGAGATTACCAGGGAACGGGGTCAATAAGGAGTGGAGCAGAGGGAACAGTGTGAGCCAGGAAGGGGAAAAGCCCAGGTCATGTTGGGCAATTTTTTTCTGTAAAGGGCCAGATAGTAAATATTTCAGATTTTGTGGCCAGGTGGTCTCTGTCTTATGACTCTGCTGCGATAACTTTGCCGCACAAAAGCAGCCACAGACAGGTAAGGCTGTCTTCCAGTAAGTATATTGTTTATTTATTTTTATTTTTTATTTATTTTTCTTGAGAGGGAGTCTTGCTCTGTTGCCAGGCTGGAGTGCAGTGGCATGATCTTGCCTCACTGCAACCTCCGCCTCCCAGGTTGAAACGATGCTTCTGCCTCAGCCTCCCGAGTAGCTGGGACTGTGGGTGAACATCGCCATTCCCGGCTAATTTTTTGTATTTTAGTAGAAATGGGGTTTCATCATGTTGGCCAGGATGGTCTCAATCTCTTGACCTCATGATCTGCCTGCCTTGGCCTCCCAAAGTACTGGGATTACAGGTGTGAGCCACCGTGACCGGCTGTGTATTATTTCTTTTTTACAAAAATAGTTTGCAGGTTGGATTTGACCCATGGGCCATAGTTGGCCAACTTCTGGTCTAAGATAACTTTACATTTATTATTATTTTTTGATACAGGGTCTTACTCTGACACCCAGGCTGCAGTGTGTCACGTGGAGTTTGATCATGGCTCACTGCAGCCACTCCAGGGCTCCAGTAATCCTCTCACCTTAGTCTCCAGAGTGACTGGGACTACAGGCATGTGCCACCATGCCTGGCTAACTTTTGTATTTTTCTGTAGAGACGAGGTTTTGTCATGTTGCCCAGGCTGGTCTCCAACTCCTGGGTTCAAGCGATCTGCTTGACTCGGTCTCTCTTGGGATTACAGGCGTGAGCCACCGCACCCAGTCCAAGTTAACTTAGAAAACCACATATCCCTCATACATTCTTAGGTGATATCAAACAGTTAAAAAATCATAAATGTAAAAAATTTTTAAAGGGAAGGATGGAATTTTTAGTATATTGCGTATTACATTTTTGTGCATACATTTTCTTCACAATCTGGGAGTTGCGCTTTTAGCTCATTCAGTTAGGGACACATGTCTCCCATGTAGTTTAGATAGCCAGGCCAGGTGATATTGTCACGCCAGCCAGCCTTATCAGGCTTATCTTGATGTTCAGAAAGAAACCCGACAAGTTTTCGATTCAAATGAGCATGTTAACTCACTGTTCCAGACAAACATCTCAGTGCAGAATTCTCATTCTAAAGTAGTAGCTGGATAAGACGGGAGCCTCGATATGGCTGCACATTCCTTTCTGAAGCTCTCTCTGTTTAGGAGCAATGCATTCTGGAACCGTCCCTTCCTGGTTCTAGGAGTGTTTACGCCTTAGCCTATGCACCATAGATTCGGGGTGCGGGAGGATTTAGCTCTTCCGTTGTAAGATAGGAGAAGGAGAGGTGATTAAAAGGGGAGATGGGCAAAGAAAATCCACACCTTCTGGAAACAAGTGCCCCAGGAGGGAGCTCAGGCTATTAACTGAGAGCCTGCCAGGCTGTTCTGGGCACTGGGGCATGGTGGGACCTGCTCTGGTGCTTGGGAGGAACCTGTTGGCGGGCTCTCCCCTCTGTTGAGCTGAGGAGGGTAGACCTGTCTCTGGATGGGAGGGGAGTCAGAAGCGGGTTGGCGGTGGGCTGCCTTATCATGCATCTTAAAGCACTTCTACAGGCTGTGCAGAAGCCACAAAGTCAATCTGGAAGACCCCAGTTTTAGGAAGTGGTTGGCCCTCTGCTGTGCTTCTGAGGGGTCAGAACTCAAGCGAATGGGGAAGACTCAGGGAAGGCAGTTTCCTCTTTTCTTTTCTTTCTTTCTTTTTTTTTTTTGAGATGGAGTTTTGCTCTTGTTGCCCAGGCTGGAGTGCAATGGCGTGATCTCGGCTCACCACAACCTCCGCCTCCCGGGTGCAAGCGATTCTACTGCCTCAGCCTCCCGAGTAGCTGGGATTACAGGCCTGTGCCACCATGACAGGCTAATTTTTTGTATTTTTAGAGATGGGGTTTCTCCATGTTGATCAGGCTGGTCTTGAACTCCTGACCTGAGGTGATCAGCCCGCCTTGGCCTCCCATAGTGCTGGGATTACAGGCATGAGCCACCACGACTGGCCGAGGCAGTTTTATTTAGTTTGTCTCTTGTCCTGGTGCCTCTCTTGTTGAACTCCATCTGCTTCAGGTCCCCCATTAACTTGCCTTTCTTTCTTCCTCTCCTTCTTTCCTTCTCTTCTGACTCTGTCTGTAGCTCTCGCTCTGTAAGAAAATGGGCTCGTGAGAACTGCAGAACTCTCGGCACGCAACAACCCCGTCTAGCCCCTGCTCTCACAGATGACCAAGCTCTAGCACTGCTTCTAGCACTGCTTCTGTGCATGTAGGATGACCCCAGCCCCCTGATAAACGCCTGCCTAAGAAAGCTCTCTGCTGCCAGGAGAATTTACCATTTGTTCTAGCCAACACTTGACAAAGACTCTGGCCCTTTCTTAGAGTGTTTATTAAAAAGGATTTCTAATTATGAATCCTTCCTCTGTCCCTTTGAAATGTAGATACAGTCATCTCTTGGTATCCATGGGTGGGGGAGATTGATTCCAGGACCCCCTCAGGATACCAAAATCATGGATGCTTAAGCCCCTTGTATAAAATGGGGTGTGATATTTGTATATAACCTGTGCACATCCTCCCATATACTTATTTTATTTCAGAGACAGGGTCTCACTCTGTCACCCAGGATGGAGTGCAGTGGTGCTCCACGGAAATATAATCTTGGCTCACTGCAGCCTTGACCTTCCTGAGCTCAGGTGATCCTCCCACCTCAGCCTCCTGAGTAGATGAGATTCCAGGCACACACCATCACACTCGGCGAATGTGTGTGTGTGTGTGTGTGTGTGTGTGTGTGTGTTTGTAGCAATGGGGTTTCGCCACGTTGCCCAGACTGGTCTCAAACTCCTGGGCTCAAATGATCCACCTGCCTTGGCCTCCCAAATTATGAGTGAGCCACTCATAATTACTTGTACTACTCAATGCAATGTAAATGCTGTGTAAATAATTATGCTGTATTTTTAAAATGTATATTATTTTTTGTTGTTCTTTTAAAATTTTTTTTTCCCAAATGTTTTCAATTCACAAATTTTTTCAATTTGGGAAACAATTTTTTTCCCCCAAATGTTTTCAATTCCAATGTGGAATCCATGGAAATGGAAGGCTGAATGTCAATCTCTTATAACTCAGAAGTGTCTTTCTCAAGGACCTGAGAGCCATTCCTTTGAAATATAATCATCAGGAAGGATAGAGCCTCTGTCCCCAGTCTTTGTGGGATGGTAGAATCCTAACTCTGATAATTGCGAGCTAGCAGACACAGCTGGCCTCATTGCATAGTCAGTATTTCACCTCTCTGACTCTACGGAGCCCTCGCTCACCCCTCCCCCTACTCCCACATCTCCCTTTAAAATGTCAGTCACCTCTGCACAAATTGGGATGGAGCTCAGCTCTTTCCCTGCTGTCAGGAGACAGTGAATCAAATCTGTTTTTGCTGTTTTGTTATGTCTGGCTTTATCTTTGACACTTGGAAACAATTCTGAGTGTATTTGAATAAAATGATTCTTTTCCCAGTCACTCATGTGCTTCAAATCCATCGATACTCCACAGAAATCTGCTGTTTGGTCACTGGTTTAAATATTTGCTTCCCTGGCTGTGAAGGGCTTAAGTGCCCCTCTTGGGAAGTCAGGCAGATCTGAGCCTTGTCACTTGTCGGCTGTGTGGCTTTTCGTGAATTCTTTTGTTTTTGAGATGAAGTCTCACTCTGTCATCCAGGTTGGAGTGCAGTGGCGTGATCTCGGCTCACTGCAACCTCCACCTCCTGGTGGAGGTTGATTAAAGTGATTCTCCTGCCTCAGTCTCCCAGGTAACTGGGATTACAGGCACCTGCCACCACACCCAGCTAATTTTTGTTTTTTTAGTAGAGGCGGGTTCTCACCATGTTGGCCAGCCTGGTCTCGAACTCCTGACCTCAGATGATCCATCCGCCTCAGCCTCCCAAAGCACTGGGATTATAGGCGTGGGCCACCGTGCCCAGCCTTTGCTTGAGTTCCTTATACTGTCCATCCTCAGTCTTCTCCTCTGGAAAGTGGGATTAGAATGACTACTTCCTAGGGTTGTCAGGCTGATTAAACAAATCCTGAGCCTGGAGAGTTCCTGCACCCTGCTGATATCTAGAAAGCAGGCGTTCTCACAATCTTCACCCCACCCGCCACCCTGTGTTGTTTCCCCCAGTCCCTCCTGCGCTGGTATCTCAGAGGCAGTGGTGCAGGCAAGGGTGGGCCCGCACCGTCTCAGTGGGTTGTCTCAGCTAGCTCTGAACAGCTGTGCTGAGCTGCACCAACCCTCAGGGGTCAGCCTCACATCTCTGTGAGTTTTTATTTCTTTTTCTTTTTTTATTGTATTTTAAGTTCTGGGGTATATGTGCAGATCATGCAGGATTGCTACAGAGGTATACACATGCCATGGTGGTTTGCTGCACCCATTCCCCCCATCATCTACATTAGGTATTTCTCCTAATGCTGGCCCTCCTCAATCCTCCCACCCCCTGCTATCCCTCCCCTAGCTTCCCGCACCCGCTAACAGGCCCTGGTATATGATGTTCCCCTCCCTCTGTCCATGTATTCTCATTGTTCAACGCCCACTTATGAGTGAGAACATGCGGTGTCTGGTTTTCTGTTCTTGTGTCAGTTTGCTGAGAATGATGGTTTCCAGCTTCATCCATGTCACTGCAAAGGACATGAACTCATCCCTTTTTATGGTTGCATAGTATTCCCTGGTGTATATGTGCCACATTTACTTTATCCAGGCTATGACTGATGGGCATTTGGGTTGGTTCCAAGTCATTGTTATCGTCAACAGTGCTGCAGTGAACATACATGTGCATGTGTCTTCATAATAGAATGATTTATAATCCTTTGGGTGTATACTCAGTGGTGTTTTTTTCAGAGTGTCCTCTTCCTTTTGCAGAACGATTTTCCTGCCAGCACGTAAGTGAGGCGATGTTATTCATTAAAGCACATCCTCAGTGCTCCTCACGGTCCAGCACTCATTCGGCAGATAAATTATGAGTGCCGACTCTGCTGGTAGTGGGATCAGCACCTGGGACACTGAGACCAATCCAGGCGAGGTCCCTGCCCTCAAGCCTTGGGCAGTCAGAGTTCCCAGGGGTGATTTCCCAACTTTACACTTGTCTCAAGGGCCCTAGTCGGCCACTCCTGAGCTACAGCATCTGGGCACTGCCCTTCTGTCCTTGCCACAGCTAAGCCCTGGGGTTTATTATGCTTTTTGTTTATTATTATTATTTTGAGATGGAGTTTCGCTCTTGTTACCCAGGCTGGAGTGCAACGGCTCACCGTTCCTCCGCCTCCTGGGTTCAGGCAATTCTCCTGCCTCAGCCTCCCAAGTAGCTGGGATTACAGGCACGCGCCACCGTGCCCAGTTAATTTTTTGTATTTTTAGTAGAGACGGGGTTTCACCATGTTGACCAGGATGGTCTCGATCTGTTGACCTCGTGATCCACCCGCCTCGGCCTCCCAAAGTGCTGGGATTACAGGCTTGAGCCACCGCGCCCGGCCCATTATTATTATTTTTAAAGACAGGTACTCACTCTGTAACCCAAGCTGGAATGCAGTAGTGTGATCTCGGCTCACTGCAATCTCTGCCTCCTGGGCTCAAGTGATCTTCCTGCCTCAGCCTCCTGAGTAAAACTAGGACTACGTGTGGGCACCACCACATTCAGCTAATTTTTAAAAATTTTTTTGTAGAGATGAGTTTTTACCATGCTGGCCAGGCTGGTCTCAAACTCCTGACCTTGTGATCCACCTGCCTTGGCCTTCCAAAGTTCTGGGATTACAGGCCTGAGCCACTGTGCCCACTCTATTATTATTCTTTTTTAAGACAAAGACTCACTCTGTCACCGAAGCGGGAATGCAGTGGTGTGATCTTGGCTCACTGCAACCTTCACCTCCTGGGCTCAAGTGATCCTCCTTCCTCAGCCTCCCGAGTAACCAGGACTACAGGTGCGCACCACCATACTTAGCTAATTTTTTTTTTTTTGTATTTTTTTAGAGATGGGGTCTCTCCATGTTGCCCAGGCTGGTCTTGAACTCCTGGGCTCAAGTGATCCACCCATCTCGGCCTCGCAAGGTGTTAGGATTGCAGGTGTGAGCTACAGCGCTCAACCTATTATGTTTTTAACACCCACAGGGTGTATCTGGTTTCCCTCCTTTACTCTATATATATCACGTCTATGGCTTTGCTCTTCCATTCACTCTGTGCCCACCAGACATCTCCTCTCCTCTTTCCTGGGTGGCCTGACCACTTGGGATCCCCTCTCCCAGCCAATATTTGCGATTCGAATGAGGAGGACTGGGCCGGATGGGTCTTTCCTGCGCGTAGTTTCCTGGTGTATGTATTGTGGTGCCCGCCGGATGCTGAGTGTGCTCTCCCTTCTCTTCTGCTGCAGGTCACTGATACCCTCAAGACAGTAAGTGTGGTAACAGGCATCCTGGCTGTCGCAGGCCTTGCGGTGACGCTGCTGTCCAGAAGCAAGCGGGAAAGGCAGTAAAATCCAAGGAATTGTCCCAACAACAACCAATTCTTATGGAAATATTGTTTAGCTTGCAGGAGTGTGGTTTGGTTTACTGGCTTCACTGTTTTGTGTTCATGAATCTTTATTTTAATGGAATTAAAAGCATAGGAACATTTATTTGGGGGAAATGCAGCTGGGTGTGAATTCTATTAAATGCAGCTTAGTGTGAATTGTATTAAAGACACGATTGGCTTCTGTTATGGACTGTGTGTTTTTGTGTTCCTCTCACACCCCAAATTCATCCGTTGAATTGTAACCCACCTGTGGGAAGGTATGGGAGGTGGGGCCACTGCGAGGTAATTAGATTGTGAGGGTTGAGCCTCTAGGATGGAATTAGTGTTCTTATATGAAAAGAAAGAGACTAGACGCCTGTAATCCCAGCACTTTGGAAGGTCGAGGAGGGCGATCATCTGAGGTCAGGACTTCGAGACCAGCCTGGCCAATATGGCAAAACCCCATCTCTACTAAAAATACAAAAATTAGCCCAGCATGGTGGTGGGTCACTGTAATCCCAGCTACTCGGGAGGATGAGACAGGAGAATTGCTTGAACCCAGGAGGCAGAGGTTGCAGTGAGCTGAGATCGTGCCATTACACTCCAGCCTGGGTGACAATGAGACTCTGTCTCAGACAAAAAACAAGGAGACCAGAGCTCACTCTCTCTCCGCCATGTAAGGACCGAGTGGGAAGGTGGCTGTCTGCAAGCCAGAAAGAGTCTCCAGGTGCTCTCAGCATAGCTGTCACCCTGACAACTGGCTGCCCTGAGTACTTACACCCTCCCTCCCGCCACTGCCCCCAGGAAGCACAGCTCTCTCCCTGGAGGATGTTTCCGTGGTGCATCCGCCATCTTTGGGCCTGCCAGTTTCTTCACAGGAAGTGAGAGAACAGAGGGCCGAGCAGCTCCTGACCTTTCTACCCACCGCTTCAAGGTTGCACTGAGTGATGCTGCTCCAAGGCCTGAGTCTGCGACATCTACAGGGGGCACACAGGAACTGTCCTGGGACATTAAGCAAGGCACGGGGTGAGACTGCCCATGCCAGTCTCATCTGGGAACACTCCAGTGGCCTGGCCCAAAGAACTGACTTTTGGGTAAAATTGACTTGAAGGGAATCCAGAGCCTCTTCTTAATGGCCATGTGACCTTGGGTCGGTGGCATAGACGCTGAGCCTAGTTTGCCTTTCTATCAACATAGTATCAAAACTGCCCACCTTCCAGGAACTATGGAGATCATGTAGCTTGAGGATGTGGCTAGTGGTTCTGACTTCGGAATGTGTAAACACAGAACAGCTGTTGTGGTCAATTTGGGCACATTGGCCAAAACAGAGACAGCAGGAAAAGCTGTGTTTAACATCCCTTTCCTGTCGAGTGCCGTGGCTCATGCCTGTAATCCCAGCACTTTGGGGGGCTGAGGCAGGTGGATCACAAGGTCAGGAGTTCAAGACCAGCCTGGCCAATATGGTGAAACCTTGTCTCTATTAAAAAAAAAAATTACAAAAATTAGTTGGGTGTGGTGGTGGGCACCTGTAATCCCAGCTGCTTGGGAGGCTGAGGCAGGAGAATCCCTTGAACTCAGGAGGCAGAGGTTGCAGTGAGCAGAGATTGTGCCACTGTACTCCAGCCTGAATGACAGAGCAAGACTCCGTCTCAGCAAAAAATAAAATAAAATAAACATCCCTTTCTTTGAAGAGTTGAAGCCAGAGCTCAGGGCCCCATACCTGGCCCTTGTTTCTCCATGGTGCTCTTTCATGACAGCTTCCTGCTTCTCCTGTGTCTTGAGGGCCAATGGTCAGTGCTCTGCAGGAAGGGCCAGGCCCAACCATGGGAACGCCTGATGGTTTGAGCAGATCTTTGCAGGAACTAAGACCCTCCTTGCTAATGTCTTAAATTATTTTCTCTGACCCCAATAGGAGACTTTAAGCCACCCAAGAAAGAGGGTAGTAGGGCAGGCAGCACTGACAGCTCCCCTGCTCCTCCGATGTCCTGGCTGTCTCAGATTCCAGCCACCTTCAGAGACTTTCTGGTGAATGCACATAAGCAAAACATTTCATTGTTCATGAGGCAGGAGGGCAGCACTAGAGATTCTCTCTGTCCTGCCAGCTGTCCAGTCACTCCTGGGCGGGGAGAGGGATGCTGTCTTCGAGACTGACACACACAGAAGGACAATCTAGTCTTACCACACACAGCCCAGGATTCCTGTTTCTTCAGCACCGATCAGTTTTCTTAAAAATTTCTTGAGCTGAGGCCGGGTATGGTGGCTCACACTTATAATCCCAGCACTTTGGGAGGCCAAGGCGGGTGGGACACTTCAGGTCAGGAGTTCAAGACCAGCCTGACCAACATGGTGAAACCCCGTCTCTCCTAAAAATATAAAAATTAGCCAGGTGTTGTGGTGGGTGCTTGTAATCCAAGCTACTTGGGAGGCTGAGGCAGGAGAATTGCTTAAAGCTCAGGAGGCAGAAGATGTAGTGAGTGAGACTGTGCCACTACACTCCAGCCTGGGCAACAGAGTGAGACTCTGTCTCAAAAAAAAGAACAATTCTTGAGCTGAAAAACAGCCTGCGGAAGGAATATATGCATCCTCTTTTAAGTCACTTTTATCTGTTTATTTTTATTTATTTATTTTTTGAGACAAAGTCTCTCTCTGTTATCCAGGCTGGAATGCTGTGGCACAATCTCAGCTCACTGCAACCTCCACCACCTGGGTACAAGTAATTCTCATGTCTCAGCCTCCTGAGTGGCTGGGACTACAGGTGCCTGCCACCACACCTGGCTAATTTTTGTATTTTTAGTAGAGATGGGGTTTTGCCTAGTTGGACAGGGTAGTCTTGAACTCTTGACCTCAGGTGATCTGCCTGCCTCGACCTCCCAAAGTGCTGGGATTATAGGTGTGAGCCACCATGCCTGGCCTTCAGCCACTTTTCTTAGCAAAAAGACTTGCTAAGACCAAGGACTGTCCAGAGGTGATACAATCATTTAATGAATTTAATGAAAAAATAAAGTTTACATTTTAGTGGAATCTAGTTCATGGAAGTCAGTCCAGAGAGGTCTGGAACTGGTTCAGTGTATTTCTCAACTTTATAGCAACACAATTTTGGTGGGAGTTAACATTTACTGTGGTGGCCACAACATTTTTTGAGAAGAGTGGTCATATTTTTTATTTATTTATTTTATTTTTATTTTTATTTTTGAGACGGAGTTTCACTCTTGTTACCCAGGCTGGAGTGCAATGGCGCGATCTCGGCTCACCGCAACCTCTGCCTCCTGGGTTCAGGCAATTCTCCTGCCTCAGCCTCCCGAGTAGCTGGGATTACAGGCATGCGCCACCATGCCCAGCTAATTTTTTGTATTTTGAGTAGAGATGGGTTTCACCATGTTGACCAGGATGGTCTCGATCTCTTGACCTCGTGATCCACCCGCCTCGGCCTCCCAAAGTGCTGGGATTACAGGCTTGAGCCACCGTCCTGTCCTTATTTTTATTTTTTACTTGTACTTCTTTTTGTTTTAAAGATGAGATCTCAGGCTGTTGCTGAGGCTGGAGTGCAGTGGTATGATTATAGCTCATTGCAAATTTGAACTCCTGGGCTCAAATGATTCTTCTGCCTCAGCCTCCTGAGTAGCTGGGACTACAGGCACATGCTGTAAGAGTTAAAGAAAGGGAAACACAAAAAGCAGCTCAACAGTCAAAGACAGGTTTATTTCAATAATCAACCTGAGAGGGGCTTCTGGTTGATTTCAGTCAGGAACGTTCTTACAAACTAAGGACATTTTAAGAGTTTAGGAAGTGGGGAGCTTATCATAGGTTTGAAATGTTTCTATGTGAGGGAAAGTTTATTGCAGGGTATAAATGTCTCTGAGCAGAGGAGAGGCTATCTTGGGGTTGGCATGTTTCTGGTTGGAAAAAAGGGGTTTATCTTAGGGCTGGAATGTTTCTGGTTATGCTGACATTAGTCATTAGGCTGATGTTTTGGGGCGGGATTTAGGCATTTATTTTTCCAGATCTTGCAGTGAGAGGCAGTTTTTAAATTGAGGGGAACTTAGCATGGTGGTGTTTCTCCAAGATGGCGATGCTCCTGCTCTGTCATGTACCACCACGCCTGGCTAATCTTTTTTAATTTTTAATTTTTGTAGAGACAGGGTTTTCCTATGTTGACCCTGTTGTTACCTATGCTGGCCTTGAACTTCTGAGCTCAAAGGAGCTCAAAACCTCCTTTGGCCTCCCAAAGTACTGGAATCACAGTATTTTGTGCGCCCCTGTGCCTGGCCCTGTTTTTCTTAATTAATAAATTTGTTAATTAAGTAAACCACTATCTTGTTTTCTTTTTAAGAGATGGTATGTATCTCACTATATTGCCCAAGCTGATCTTGAACTCTTGGGCTCAAGCAATCCTCCTGCTGCAACCTCTCAAGTGCTGGGATTCCAGGTGCATGCTACCGTGCTTGACTTGTAATCTATTGTCTATCGAGCGCTTATAGTAAGTTAGGTGTTGTGCTTGATGCTACGGTCCCAATGGTACCAAACTTGGACCACCCCCAAAATTCTGGCAGGGAAAGACACATTAGTAAAATAACCACGTGGATCAGTGTTCATTGCAACTCTGAGAATCACATGAAGTGCAGGTACATGGATGCCTGAGACTCCTAATGGGGATTTGACCTGGTCATGTAGGCCAAGCACACCTTGGAAGGGCCTGGATGCTTCCATTGTCCAGCACACTGGAGCAATTGATCCTGGACAGGCAATGAAGTCTGGGAAGGTAAGCCTTAGATCACAAGAAGTGAGAAAGCCTTCTTCTCTTGCTGGGCCTTCTGCTTATTAGGCCTGGACTCTGGGTAGAGCAGCTTGGCCCTCTGATATGGAGGTAGCCCTGGAGCAAGGCAGGCATGGATGCTTCTGCAATCCCCAAATGGAGCCTGGGATTTGAGCCAGAAATCTGAGCAGAGCCCCCTCTAATTGTAGCAATGATAAGTTGTTCTCTTTGTTCTTCAATCTACCAATAGCCCTGAACTTCCAGGGGGAGTCTCATTAATCATTACAGCCTGGTCTCCACTGCGTTGGGGAATTAAGGTGCCAACCAGCTTGCTCACGCATGAAAAAAGACAGCCCAGGGGAGGGTGATGTCCCCAGTCCTGAAGCCAGAGTGATGGTGGCTGCAGTGACCCCATGGAAGTGGCCATTGAGTAGGGTCACTGGTGGCAGGGGCTGGAGTGAGGAAGTACAGAAACATGGGGACCTGGGCACTTCTGGGACCACACCCAGGACATGCTCGAAGTAGTGGAGAGGGATTTAGAGGTAACTAATTCTCAGCATTCCTCCCAGGACCAGCTTCAGCCATGGCAGCTCAGGCATGGAAAGAATATTACTCCATCTTGTAGTCACAGGTGGGTGAGAACTCAGACCTTTGAACTAGAAAAAGAAAAAAGAACTTTCTAAAAAGAGGGCCAGGTAAAGGAGGTAACTGGGAAGATGCTGGTGGATGTGTAGGTGTTGTGAGGGGATTTAAGCACCCCGTGAGACTACATTGGGAGGTAATTACGTTTTTTCACCTTCCTGAGAGTAAAATTAGTGACATGCAATTATGTCGATGTTATGTCTGTGTAGAATGATGGAGACAATTCACTGAACATCTGTTACGTATCAGACATGGTGCCCAGCGTCTTGTATGCCTCATCTTACGTGATTCTTCTGACATTACCTAACATGAAATAACTGAGGCTCTGAGAATCAAGAGCCTTCTCTAAGGTCACACAGCTAGAAATTGCTGGAACTACCCAGCAGGTGTTCACTCAATGTTACTTTCCTCCTTTGTGATTTAGAAGTCTAGGAAAACATGGTAGAAGTCCTTTCTGAAGGGGTAAATGGATGTTTATTGACCCTTCAGTCTTGTTTCAATTAGATCATCCTTTAGCCAGCGAGAGAAGGAAACAGAGAGGAAAGGAGCTAGAGAGAGCCCAAGACAGAGAGCAAGGGTCAGGCTACTGGAGGCATGGGGAGGCCCATCTCCACTGGGGCCTCCACAGCTGCTTCTAACACAGGATATTGTGGCTGCTTCAGGCTGTCACTGGTTTCGGTATCTCCCAATCGCAAAAGAGCATCCAATAATAATAGCCAGACTTCCAAGACTCATGGCCACACCTTTGTCAGCCTTGGCCCTTTCCACCTGCAAAGCAAGCAGCTTTTGTTGAGAGTTCACAGCAAGCCCAGGCTGCCACTTTCTCCCTCCCAAGGGCCTGGAACTCTTCTCCCTCTCCTTGCTCTCCTGCCTCCCCTAGAGCCTGGCATCTCCTCTCTTCTCCCCTCTCCGCTGGCTGGCTCAGAATCCTCTCCCAGAGAAGCTGTTGGCTGGTCCCCAGGACCTCCATTTTTCTGAGCTGTGACCACTTCTTGGTGTTGGGCTTTTACTGAGAATGGGCCGACGAAATCCTTTTGAGACAGCTTCCGGGTGAGGACATCTGTTCTGATTTGGGGCAAGGAAGAAGGGTTGTGCCTTGCTTCCCAGGGTCAGAGTGCCGGGGTCAGACTGGGGATTGGTTTGCAGCCTGGGTCCTACCTGAGCTACACCTTTGCACAGGGAGGGCTGTGGCAGAAGCTGAGGGGAGACTTAGGGAGGCATGGCCATGTGCGTGCCTTGGGGTCACTGTGTACTGTTCGCAACTGCAGCCTGGAAACGTCCAGCCCTACTTCAGCCTAAACTCCAACTCCATGCTTTATCTCCACCTGGGCCTCTAATGGGGCGCCTCAGACATCACATACCACACCAAACTCTTGATTTCCCTCCCCAAAGCCTCTCCTTCTGCCATCATGCCCCTCTCAGCAAGGGCCCCCTCCATTCAGTCATGCAGGCTAAGGGGCCTGAGCTGCTGCCCGGCCGGCATCACAGGCAGAGACTCTAGAAAGGGACAGCTGGGGTTTGAATCTGGTTCTGCCACTTATTAGTTGTGTGTTTTGGGGCAACAAATGTGAAAGACTATGAAGGGGGAAGGGATAGAGGCTGTGCCCAGATCTTACGCACAAATGTTCTTGAGCTCTTACACAGGTCCCCGGACCCTGAGTGTCCCTTGCCTGAGTGCTCTTTGGGGAGTTATGGGACCTGTCATGGTCCTGGGTTGGCCCAGATTCTCCTGATGACCCACAGAACTTCAGGAGCCATTTTCAGCGTAGGTGTTAGAGGGGAAGGATCTTCAGAGGTCCTCCATCCACTCCCTCCTCTGCACACGGAGAGGCCTGGAGGGGAAGGGACCTGTCCACACACACTCTGGATTAGAAGCAGATCTGGCATTGGAGCTCAGAGGTCCTGACTCTCAGCCAGCGGGTCTCTAAGAGGCTACATTTGTATTGTTCATGGTGATACAGTGAGCCCAGCCCCAAGCAGACATCCCCAGGGGAGATGGATCATCCAGAGAGTTCCTTACCTGTTTACAGCGGGCCTTGCCATATCTCAGCTTGGTAACAAAGTGCTCACAGTTCCTGCTCACAATACTGTACTTCATCTTCCAACCAACCATCTGCTTCGCAGGATTGATGATCACCTGAATGGGCCGTGGTCTGTACTCACGGACCAAGCTGTCGTTGATGTGATAGTGACAGCCTCCCACCACATCCTCCAGGCGCTCCTGCTTCACTATTGCACTGCTGCCTAGGACTGAGAGGGCGCTGGAGGAGCCAGCCTTGGGGTACTCACCTGCAGTCAGAGGCACACTTACTGGCAGGGGAAGGTGAAGTCGGGAGAGAAGGGCTTGAAATCTCCATTAGGGAGCTACTGGGGTTTATCCTTTCACATATGTGATTAGAGGATTCACAGATTTTGCTCTTTTTTTTTTGAGGTGGAGTTTCACTCTTGCTGCCCAGGCTGGAGTGCAATGGTGCAATCTCGGCTCAGTGCAACCTTCACCTCCCAGGTGCAAGCGATTCTCCTGCCTCAGCCTCCTGAGTAGCTGGGACTACAAGCACACGCCACCACTCCCGGCTAATTTTGTACTTTTAGAGACAGGATTTCACCATGTTAGCCAGGATGGTCTCGACCTCGTGACCTTGTGATCTGCCCGCCTCGGCCTCCTAAAGTGCTGGAATTACAGGCATGCGCCACCGTGCCCGGCCCTCTTTTTTTTTTTTTTTTTTAAATCAAATAAGGTGTGAATGTTTGTTTAGGTCAGTGAATGCCATGATCGTCTGTGGCTGCTACCATATCCCATTCTATTCATGTACATCACTTATGTGACCAATCCCCTATTAGCAGTCATTTCGGTATTGGAAAAGTTTTCATCATTATAAACAATGATGGAAAAACATACTTATTACCTGTTCAGCTTCGTACACTTATGTTTCAGAAAAAGATCCAATTTGTTTTTGCACCTACTGTTTCAGTTACCATGCTATGCTGTTACATATACTTCCTAATTTAATCTCCTTTTTAGTGTTCAAGGAAAATTACCATCTCTATTTAAAAACCATGTTGGTCTGAGAGAGACATCTGAGACTCTTCTGTGCTATGAAAAGTCCCAGAATCAGGATGTGAAATTGCTTCTCTTAAGCCCCAAAGGGCAGGATCCTTCCACTGCTCTGAGCCGACTCTGAGGGAATCCTTTGTAAAATTGTCTGGCTGCCCTACGATCTGGCACAGTTCTAGACACATAGAGAGGTACTGTCAACCAATGGAGTCTCAATTCCATGCTATAGTGACTCCAAGTGTTATCTTATTTTTATTAAAATGGATAGTACTTAATGTGCACAATAATTAGGTGTGTTTCCTCTCTTGCCCCTGTTTCTAATGTCAAGGCTGATGTTTGCACTTAGAACCCACTTAAGAAAAATCCTGTTGACTGGGCGCAGTGGCTCATGCCTGTAATCCCAGCACTTTGGGAAGTCTAAACAGGTGGACTACTTGAGCCCAGGAGTTCGAGAGCAGCCTGAACGACATGCAGAGACCTGTCCCTACAAAAAATACAAAAATCAGCTGTGTGTGGTGGCACACGCTTGTAGTCTCAGCTCTTCAGAAAGCTATGGTGGGAGGATCACCTGCCTTGGGCTTGGGGAAGTCAAGGCTGCAGTGAGCCGTAATCACGTCACTGCATACCAGCCTGGGTGACAGAGTGAGACCCTGTCTCAGAGAAAGAAAAAAAAAAAAGAAAGGAAAATTGTCTTACAAAAGCCTCTTTACACTCTGCAAGTAGGGCACAAAAGGGACCATGTGTCCTCATTGCCGTCCTTTGTCTTACAAGGTCTCTGAGGGGCATCTAGATTAAGTGTGCTTGATTTGCTATTTTCCATCAATTCAGACGTTTTTACAACCCTGTCCTGGGAGATGATGGCTTGGAGAAAACTAGTAAGATGCAAACATCTTGCTCTGATAGTGATGGGAATAGTTTTGTCCAGTGACGATGTAAATGGTAAAAGAGAACGTTGAAAGTTATACAGTGGCATTGCCCTAGAGGACATGAACTTGCCTGCACCTATCTAATCGGGCAGTCTCACTGTCTCATTTCTGCGTTGTTGTCGTTGATTGAGACGGTGTCACCCAGGCTGGAGCGCAGTGGTACCATTTTGTGATCTTGGCTCACTGCAACCTCCACCTCCTAGGTTCAAGGGATTCTCCTGCCTCAGCCTCCCGAGTAGCTGGGATTACAGGTGTGCACCACCACATCTGGCTAATTTTTGCATTTTTAGTAGAGACGGGGTTTCACCATGTTGGCCAGGCTGGTCTTGAACTCCTGATCTCAAGTGATCTGCCCACCTTGGCCTCCCAAAGTGCTGGGATTACAGGCATGAGCCACTGTGCCTGGCTTCTGCATTTGTTTTTTTACCCTTTCATTGACTGTCCATACATCCATTTCCTTCATTCTACTTTTAACCGGGTATGTCATCTTGCTGCTTCTGTTGTCAATGAGGTAAATAAATCATTGACCTTGCTTACTGTGCATTTCAATGAGAATTAAAAAAAAAATGTATAAACCTGTGAGAATTGCCTCCATTAAGAACTCCTAAGTACATAATATCAAGACACCTTGTTCTGTAAAAACATATGAGGCAAAGGATATAATATGGAGGACCATTGTTCTTTTTCAGAAACTTTCTTCTTTGAGACCTCAGAAACCTGGCTGGTTTAAGTTGTATGAGACTCTGCATGCCAAGGTAACTGACTTTGAGCTAGAGAGATTCCAAGGCTGGAAGCAGTCCAGCTTCACTGTGGGAGGCAACGGCCTCGTTTCTTATTCTGCCAGGACTGATGGAATCCAGTGTCTACTCCATGGGACATATGTGTACAGTCTCATCAAGCATCCTCTAAGAAGAATGTGTCTCCTAACTCATTTCCCTTGCTTAACTCTCTTTCAGTGGCTCTCGTGATCTTATTAATAAATATTTAAAAAATTATATATTAATCAGCCCTTACTTGGAGGAGCCAGATGGATCAGGTAGCCGTCACCCACATAGAGGGCCCAGTGCTCATAGCCAATGTGGAAAATCTCAATCAGGTCTCCAGGTTGTGGCTCTTGGAGTGGCTGCAACAAAAAAGAGACGGTATATATGACCTTCTAGGCGAGAGCAGAGACCCTGGCTAGGGGAGCTGCAGCTCGTCCTGGAGACGCCTTGCTGATGTTCACCAGCTCCTAGCTCCCATGAGATCTCCAGCCCTACTGTCACTTTTAAAGGCTCTCCTCACTGGAGGCACCAGGGCCTGGAAGCCTTGAAAATGATACTGCGGGATGTGAGAGACACGGACCATATGGGTGCATGTGTGGCACATTGCGAGCTGTGCGTGCCGTGCGTGCCTGAGGTGCGTGCCGTGAGTGCGGGCTGTGCGTGCCGTGCGTGCCTGAGGTGCGTGCCGTGCGTGCGGTGCTGTGCGTGCCGTGCGTGCGGTGCTGTGGTGCGTGCCTGAGGTGCGTGCCGTGCGTGCATGCTGAAGATGCGGATGTGCGTGCATCCTCAGGAACCTGCACGGACCAGCACTTGCACTGAGGCCGGGAGCAAGGCTAGGAAGGTGAGTCTTGAGCTCTCCGCCCTCTGCAGACCGACCCTTGGTTTCTCATCACTCCTCGTGCCCTATGCCTATCCATGGCCCTGAGAGCCACCTCCTTCTCAGACCCTGCCCCATCTACCTTCAGGACACCCGTCTCTGGGAGACAGGAGCTCACAGCAAGAGCTGGGGGCTCTGCACTCACAGAACAGGCCTCTGTGGGAACTTGTCCTAAGATAACTGCACCCTCTACACAGCCCCAGGGGAAGGCATGATCATCCCATTGCACAGGTGGGGAAACTGAGGATCAGAGAGGTGGAGGGGTTTGCTTGAGGACCAGCTGGGAGGAGGCCAAGCTGGGTCTTCCCTGAGCACCCCTCCCCCTGGTTCCTGTCTCGCCCATCTTCTTCCCCTTCCTCAACTCCTCCCCACTTTTTCGTCTCACTGCAGGGTGTAACAACCTCATGGTCAGAGGATTTTTCCATTTTGCCCTCTTTGTGCCTGTCCTCAGTGGGGGTGACAGCCTCCTCCTCCCTCATCCCAGGATGTCCCATCATAGACCCGGGGTCTGCTCACCTTTGCCCTCTTCCTCATGCCAATAATCAGTCACTAAAACCAATCATGTGGACTCCAGAAGCTTCTCCTGGTTGGTGTCCTTGTTAATATCCCACCCAATGACTTGATCAGGCAGCCCCATGCCTGCCTCTGTGACCCCCACAGCCGCCTGACCAGCCCCCGCCTCCTGTCCCTGCCACTCCGTATCCAACCCCTCAGGACCCAAGGCAGCCTTCCCAGGGGCACATCTGGCCATGACCTTCCTCTGGCCTCAGGACTCAGGACACACCCTGTGGGCAGCTCCAGGCCCTTCCTGACCAGCCCTTCCTCACCCTCCTCTCCCTCCCTGGGATCTGCACCTGCAGGCCCACTGAGCGACATCCCAGCCCCTCACCACAGCCCTGGCTCTGGCCTCTGCTGCTCTGCACATTTGGGTCTCTCTGCCTCCCTCACTTCCCTGCACCCAATCTTCCTCTTCCCCTCCCTCAGACCCCCTCACCTGAGAGGCTGCCCTGATGGCCCCAGCCTGTGTCAGCTTGCCTGCACCCCACTTCCAGGCCCTGGGTGCCCTGGGGCCTTCGTTCCTCTCTGCAGGAGTCAAGTTGAGCTGAAATTCCTTGTGCCTGTCTGTGGACCTCTGGGCTGTTGAGCTCCAGGCAGGCAGGATCCTGCGAGCTCCTCCCTCCCTTCCCCTCCATCCCTCCATCCCTCCATCCCTCCATCCCTCCATCCCTCCCTCCATCCCTGCACCTCCAGGATCCAGTGAAGGACGTGGCATGCAATGGGTCAAAGGAAATAGACATGAAAGAGGGAGGGGAAAGGAGCAGGGCCAGGACTCCTGCCCAGCTCCTCCTCTGTGCCTTAGGGCCCTGCAGGACCCAGAGATGGTCTCCATGTAGGGAGAGAGAGGGGCCATAATGCTGACTATGTAAAACCACAGTCAAGGCACGAGCAGTAGCAGCTGGTGGCCAATGAAATATGAGCTTTGGCCTAAATAAAGAAATGGCTCCCTGTTAACAGCCCTGATTTGTTTTGGCAGCGATAAAGCCCTTCCCCAGAATCAGGAGGTGCTGTTGGAGTGGGCTGCCCTTCAGAATTTGAGGACTTTTTGCTGGAATAGTTTCATTTCTAGTAATAGCCTGAGTTCAGCTATTCCTTTTTAGTCACACACCGCTGAGCTCAGCCTGCTCTTCCTGGAGCTTCTGCCCATCGGCACATGGGGGCTAATAGGAGGAGAGAGTTCAGTATTCAGAACGCTGCTGAGAATGCACCTTTAAAGAGGGCAATGCCATAGAGGAACGAGGAGAGAGAAAGCACTGTCTGGAGTCAAGGAACTGAGTCCTATTCTCAGCAGAAGCAGACGATGGTGGGATTTGTTCACTTCCCATCACCCAGGGTCCCCCACCTGACCACAGCCTTCTCCACTGGCACCTCACAGTTCTCTACTACTGGGGGGTCTGTGCCAGATACACAGAGGAGGTGGGCTCTGCTCAGAGCTCGAGTGTCCAACTGGACAGATGCACTGTTAAAAGACAAATACAGTTTCCTATGACAGCCTTCTAAAGGCAAGCTCTGGAGCCGTGTGCCCAAGGCCAGGAGCCCAGACTGAGGCCTTTCCACCGGGGAGCTGCCCACCTGCTGTAGAGTCAGTAATGCAAAGTTCTGGGAAACTTACTGAAGCCATCTTGAAGCCAAGGTGAGGTCTGGGGCTCTTGTTTGTGGATCAGCTTTTATAGTGAAATGGTGGGAATTTCACTTTCACTTTTCTTTTGATACTATTTAAACCTCACTTAAATACTAAACACTGTTCAAGAGAGACAACTGTTTAAAAATGAGATATTTCTCTAGATGGAAAGACTAAGACTTTCCTACACAAGCCATGGACTCATTGGTGCTTTAAATCCACCTTACGAGCAGCAAGAGTAGAAGGGGAGCCCTGAATTTCTGCCCCTGCTTGAGAAATAAAGGTCTCCTGTAACAAGAACCCTGGGCAGCTCTTCCTACCCCAGGAAGGGGTTGGATTTAGAGGCAGGGAGATGTCAAATCCCAGTGCACCCCATAGGACATTGTCTTGTAATGACACCCAGAAAATATGGGTCAAGAAGCCTCTGGGGAAAACCAGAGGAGGTGCTTCACACCACGGGGATGGCCTGGAGATGAGGGGTACCTTAGGCCATGTGGAACACAGGCGCTCATGGCACCATAAAATGCATGTGGCTGCAAGAAGCTGAATGAAACCCAAAGAGGCTTCCACAGCCTGGACACCAGTTGTTTCGGTAACAGAAAGGCAGGCAGAGGGTGACTCAGGTTGGGTCTAGTGGCTCACCAAGGCCAGCAAGGACTCAGGCAGGCTCTCTTCATTGCACTGGTCCTGGCTCTGCACTGTTGCCCTGCAGGGACTCCCATGGCTGTAGCAGCCTCGAGTGGCCCATTTTTCTTTTTCTTTTCTTTTCTTTTCTTTTTTTGAGATGGAGGAAACTCTTGTTACCCAGGCTGGAGTGCAATGGCATGATCTTGGCTCACCACAACCTCCAACTGGGAGGTTTGGGTGGGTTGCCTGGGTTCAGGCAATTCTCCTGCCTCAGCCTCCTGAATAGCTGGGACTACAGGCATGTGCCACTGTGCCCAGCTAATTTTTTGTATTTTTAGTAGAGACAGTGTTTCACCATGTTGACCAGGATGGTCTAGATCTCTTGACCTCATGATCCACCCACCTCAGCCTCCCAAAGTGCTGGGATTACAGGCGTGAGCCACCTCGCCTGGCCAGAGTGGCCCATTTTTCACCTGGCAATGCCCAAAAGATGGAGGGAAAGATGATTCTGATTATTTGTCTTTTTTCAGGGAGTAAAGTCCCTTTCTCTATTGGCCAGAATTGGGTCATATTTCCACACCCAACCAGTCATGGGCAAAGGGGAAGGGGCCACCCTGATGGGCTGAGCCCAGCCCAGTGCATCAGCTGGACCTGTGGGAGGGGCTCCTGCTGCTCAGGGAGCCTCACAGCCAGGGAGAAGGTGACAGACAGTGGGGTGCGTGTGCAGGAAAAGCTGCTGGCTTGGGAACCAACATCTGAGACGCAACCACTTGTTTACCATCTGCCATAACAAACAGGTTCATTCTAAGGCTACAAAAAATGCTGGAACTGGTTCTCATACAATCAGTTTGCTTCTGTATAGCAGCAGGTAGGAAAAATGGGAGACGAGTGACTCCCTGGAGCCTGGAAGAGAAAATGGCAGGCCTGCGGAGGTGGCAGAGCCCTTATCAGAGACAATTCATGCCTGGGAGCCCCAGAAAAGGCACCCCCTTTCATCAGCCCCCACTGCCCCCAGGATCCCTCGATCAGATAGTGCCCTAGACTTACTGGTCCAATGAGCATTGGCCCCTCTGTCTTCTTTCCTCCTTGACCCCAGGCCTGGTACTGTGCATTCCGTTTCCAGGTGAGCTTCATTTGTAAAGGAAATTTAAGGGTCACTGATCATATAACTCTCTGTATTAAGGTTATGTTCAACATGGAAAAAGAAAAAAGAAGAAAGTAAGCTGCAAGTCCTTGACTTTTACAAGTAGTATCACTGTGGGTGGTGTCTCCCCTCTCCTCATGTCAGTTATCTCCTCTTGAAGAGGCAGGGTGTCATCTTTCAGGTCTGAGAGCCTGTGAATCTGTGGATCTGGAACTACAGAAGGATTGGGGACCCTGATCATACCTGGCCCAGCTGGAGTCGCATCCATCACGAGACTCAGGCTCTGAGGCCCAACTTCAGGTTAAAAGTTGCCAGATGGATTTTGCAGCCGAGTCTGTGCCTCTTTCCTCCCCAGCTCCTTGGTGCCTCGCCATTCAGAATGTCACTCTTGCCACGCCCTTCCTGCCTGCTTTCCTCCTCAGAGCTTTGCTCTCAGGTTTGATCTGCATTTGAGCTGTTCCTGACATTGATACATCCCGAAAAATATGCAACGAGGTCTGGGATTTATTCCACGTCTTTGCCCCTCAGCCGTTTCTAGGGTCCTCTGTATGCTGGCCAGTGACAGATCAGAGTGTCACCTCTGGCATCAGCTAGGAGAGCAGAGAAGAGAAGATGTCTCAGGGAGGAGGGGGTGCTGGCCCTTGCATTGCTCCTTAGGTGAGCAAATGTGAGGGGTCTGTTGTGGGACTCAACTCTGAGATGACACGACACACTGGTGCAAAGCCCAGCACACAGATGAACCTCACCTTGTATCCTTATTCAGTAGGTATCTTCTGA